TGGCCTCTTCGAGGAAACGACGCTCCAGACTGTTATTCACGTTATCTATCTGGACAGAAACATCAGCGAAAGGACTGTCATAGTTCCATCCTTCTAGGCCACCACTTCTCTGCGCACGTGCGCGCTCCTCCAACTCTTCAGCAGAGAAGGGTGTAAACAAATCTCTTGCCTGTGTCGTTTCGATGTCCTCCCAGTGCTCCCTGAAATATCTTTCGTCGTCAAAGTCATAGTAAAGCCTGCTATAGAGGTCTTCGCTAAGGGCAGCACCTGTGTCCGTCTGCTGCATCTGGGACGTCAGGTATGAACCAGGGTGCAAAGATCGCACCTCGGTCTCTGTGACTTCAGTGTCAACTTCTCCTACAGCTTGAACCTCGCAAGACGAAGTAGATGAATATGACAATTGCAACTCCTGTGAAAAGGGTTCGTCACTGTCGTCCAGAGAGTCTGCCTCCTCCAACAACTGTTCAACTTCAGCGTTCAAAGGGCTGTTCGTCTGTAAGCCGAAAGACGAGGAATGAATAGCAACACCGCTGTTGAGCTGGTTCGATGGAGCTGTATTTCTGACAGGGGGTGGGGAGAATTCTTCTTCGTAAAAGAAGTCTGGGGACGTCTGAAGGGAAGAAAGGGTAGCTGGTGGTGGGTTGTTGCGGAGCTCAGTCTGTGTCAACGGAAGCGTGGGATCATAATCTTGCTCTGATATAGGCTGACGTTCGGCATACTCAGCTCTAGATCCCAACCCCTCTCTCAGAGGCGTACTATTAAATTTGCCACTTTTTGGGGGTTCAGCAAGAGGGGAAGCATTGTAGCTGTCATCACCGGATACCAGCTGATTGGAGGCGTTATCTCCGGGGGGTTGGAACCTTTCAGCCATCAGCTTACCCGCAATGTCCTCTGAAATATGGTGCTTAGTGTGGCAGTTGCGAACATGAAGGGAAGGGGAAGTGTCTCTGGAAACTAGCCGTAGATGGCTGGAAAGGGAGATTTTTTGTGTGACGTTGTTCAGTTTGTTTGCCGTTTGAGATGGAGAGCCTTTTATATGTGATCTTTGTGATGCCCTCACACAACTCACACAAAACCATCACAAAATTCACACTGTCAGTGTGAGAGTTTTGATTTTAAGGTTGACGTTTGAGAGTTTTGAGATGCGTCTCACAAAATCATCACAAAAGATTCACAAAAAATGTGTGATGTTTGAGACGATTTTTGTGATGATCACAAAACGTTCACAAAAAGTGCTACAACTCAACAAATATTCACAAACCATGTGTGACGATTGAGACGATGGAGTGAGACGAATGAGACGACGGCGTCGAAAAGAGCAAAACTCTCACAAATCGTCACACAAATCGTCTCACTTTTTGTGACGCCCTAAATCGTCACAAACCGGAGCACAGGGTTATGGCAACGCGTTGTCTGAAAATTTTGCGTTTAGAAAATCCGAGCAAACACGCCGCCAAAACACGCGTTTTCGTGATTTTACGGACAACCTTATTGAAATGCATATTTGGAAAGTGTTTATGGGCCCTGTTTTCTTGCGTACTTGTCCTCGGCAATTATATCATATAGAAAACTGAGGTAGCTGTTTCGAATTCATTGGAAGACTGGAACTATTTTGCATGTAAAATACCCGATTCTTATTCTTATTCTGATTCTTTGTTTTTGTTTCGAAGCTATGGTACATACAGCGTTTCAAAATGAGCAAAAAAGGCTTCTTTTCCAGTCGTTTCTAAAAACGAACCTGAAAAACCTGTACCGTAGTCCTCACCAATCTCTTGCGTTTCTAACGCAAAAGCTATTTACGGTAGCAATGATATCCTTCTCCTTCGTGTCGGGAATGCGCAACTCTGGAAAATATATATGCTAAAAAGAGACATCTGATGAGGACGTTGGTCGGATAGCCCTGTGCTCCGGTTTGTGACGATTTAGGGCGTCACAAAAAGTGAGACGAAGTGTGTGACGATTTGTGAGAGTTTTGCTCTTTTCGCCGCCGTCATCTCATTCGTCTCACTCCATCTTCTCATTCGTCACACATGATTTGTGAATATTTGTTGAATTGTAGCACTTTTTGAGAACGTTTTGTGATGATCATAAAAATCTTCTCAAACATCACACATTTTCGTGAATCTTTTGTGATGGTTTTGTGAGACGCATCTCAAATCTCTCAAACGTCAACCTTGAAATCAAAACTCTCACACTGACAGTGTGCATTTTGTGATGGGAGTGTGCATTTTGTGATGGCTTTGTGTAAGTTGTGTGAGGGCATCACAAAGATCACATATAAAAGGCTCTTCATCTCAAAAGGCGAACAAACTGAACAACGTCACACAAAAAAACTCCCTTTCCAGCCCTGTACGGCTAGTTTCCAGAGACACTTCCCCTTCCCTTCATGTTCGCATCTGCGTAGGTTGAACCGGAATTTACTGCACGAGTAGGTCAGTGGGACCCAAACCTACTGCGTATTATGTAGTTGGGTCAAAAGAGGGACAAAAGACGGGCGACCCAAGACACTTAGAAAGGGCTCGCGTCAGGTGCAGTGGTGTTCTACATGTAGGCAAGCTATCTGCTGCAGCTGCCGGACGGTCTGGCATTCTCGCCCTACACTGAAGCGACATGGGCCCTCTCCTGTCCATGAGAGGGTGTTCGACTCTGAGCGACGCACTCCTCGACGAATAAGGCAGGCTTCACAAGCCCGAGAGTGAAGGCCGTAAAGTGTCTGTAGAACAAGGCTATCAGCTATGCATTTTAGATAGGTTTGTGATGGATTGTTGACGTTGGAGATGATTGTGAGACAATGGTGTGAGTCACAAAACAATTTGTGTGTGAATCACAAAACAGTCAACAAAAGAGCACTTCGAGATGTTGACGTCACAAAAATAAAGTGAGATTCACAAAAACAAAGCGAGATTCACAAAACTTGTGAGAACTTTGAGACGTTTGTGTGCATTTTATGAAGTTTATGCCCCGATCACAAAATAGGACCACCCCACACTTTTCGGGAGGACGCTACTCGAAAAGTACGGGTCTCCTGGAGACAAAACGTATATCTTCTTAACGACAACACAATTCTGCGTTCAACGAACCTACTCTCGGGACGTAGCGCTCAACAAGACTGAAGCAGGAGGAAAATAACCCGACTGGGGCAAAAAATAGCCGTCACAAAAATGGAACACAGGGATTGACACCATTCCGAGAATGTGGCTATTTTTTGAGAGGAGGTGTGCGTACAAGAAAGATATACGGCGGATCCTCGCTAACTGCACGCTCGGTTTCTGCATATTCTCGATTACTGCATGCGTTCGTCAGCTATCGGCGGCGGAGCAGCGATTCCAGCCTGTATATGATATTGAACTGCATACCGCATAACTGCATCAAGAAAGTGATCCTTAATCATATCGAACCCTCATACAAAGGCTTACTATGAAACAGGTAAAAACTTATGACAACAGATATGCAGTGCCTCGCCACCGCCATCGGTGCTTTATCACCGCCATCGGACCCGGATATCTGATTTTTTGAATAAAAATGAGGCGTTTGGACACTTCGACAAGTGCATATGTTCGCCAACTGCGTACGAAAACCCTCCACTTTTCATATGCAGTTAGTGAGGATTCACTGTATGCACAATACGAGTTTTGGAGATTCCCAACTTGGGATGCATCTCAACTAGACTGTAATTGGGATTCCCAACTGACTTCATCCGTCGCAAAAACGCACCGTGCGAGTTAAAATCTAAATGCGCAATACGGGTATCATCTCACACCTGTAAACGGGCTTGCCCGTAAAGCCTCCTCATTATAATCGCAACATAGCATCGAGACATGTATAACGCCAGCAACAGCACTGGACTTCCAAAATATGCGTGCTGTTGAAGGGGCGAGGATGACATATGCGCGCTGTAGTCATTGTCATTGAATAGACAAGTTATCCATCTGGTGCTGTATTTTGTTTGTACAGTACTGCTTCGGTGAAGCACCGTCACAAATTTTGGCACCAAGGCAAAATAATTCACATAAGATTGCACGAGCATGTAGCTTTCTGTGTCAATACGTGGATGACCGGTCTCCTCTCCTTTCACACTTTGAACAGCTTCTGGACGTGCAAATTCTTTCATTGTTGAGCATACGTGGATCTTCTATGGACGCATTTGTTTTATATAAATAATAACCTTTGTCCGGAATAAAGCGAAAACGACTCTGGCATAAAATTTTCATTTTCCTCTGCACTACCAGAACCGAAAAAGGTCTACATATTGAAACCAAACGGTGCCTGTATGCCTTTGCCCCCGCAGAACATCGCAATTTTTTCTCCATGTTTGCTGGGTTAGCTTTGAGTTCGTACCTTGCTTTTCTTGTCACGTTCGTTTCTGGTGTTCCTCTAAGCACGAAAAGTAGCTACGGCGTGGTAAGGCACACTGGATCACTGGACCGACTTGTGTTTCAATGTGCATCGTCATTGCAGAGTTCAGATCTGACGAAGAGTGAAAGTGGGGTCGTTTTCACGGGCTGTTCAATCCCCATTCGAGCAAGAACAGGGGAAAGCGCACCTACACCCGAACCCGTAGACTCAGCGCCCGGCGACCCTCCTGCAAGCACGGACGATGGTGCGGCTGCACTTACGTCATGTTCTGATAAAAGGGAGGTATTTTTGCTCGATGATTTAGAGCACATCAGTATGTTCAGAGAAGCGACTGCAGCTGAAAAGGGCTCTCAAGATATCGCACATCGAGCTACACCTGGAAGTATGCGATTCAGGTCGCAATCAAGTATGACTCGAAATTTCGTATTAGACGAATGGATAGTACACAAGAAGCCATCCGACTGCAGACAACCTTTCGATTTTTGCAGATGCGTTCGTGTTATTTGTCCTCCCAATCACTACCGTTGTATATGTGAACTGAAATGCTAGGACTTTCAAAATTCTTTTGATGGCCCGCTGCTTTAGCGACGTAGACCGAAGGAGTAATCTTTCTAAACGCCAAAGAATTCTTTCTGCAGGCAGACATGTATCGCGGAGAGCATCTACATAGTCGGGAGACCTGGACAGGAAGCATGGCCTTCCAGTTTTCTCCTAATATAAACGGCATTGAAGGATATTTTAGGTCTGCCGAGAGCTTCATTCTATCACACAAACCTTCAAATGTAATAAAAGCACCGATGGCACATGATTACTATTGTTGTCGATGCGCCGCGTGGACTGCAGTTGGGTCGTTAGCCCTTGAGGCCTGCAATACACGTATACTGTACGAGGAACGGTAACCTGCTGTGATGGCCATGAAGTCAGGTCCACGAGAGAGATAAGTGCGGCATATGAAAAACAATCTACAAACGTGGGCGGGTTTCAGGATTGAACAGCGGTGTGTGCGATATTGCGGTCGCGGCGGGTTGATAGCATTTGTGCGTAACTGTGGATCGTGGGGGAGGTGCGCGGTGACGATGGAGGAGATGCACTGTGAAATGGATTGGTGCAAGGTGACGGTGGGGTTGGGCTGCAGGTGCAGAATCCACTTGAACTGCTCGCCGGCGTCGACCTCTACGCGCTTGATCATGCTGTAGCAGCCTACGGCGGCGTAGAACCGCATAAATTTATGCGAGTAGTGCGCACGGGTCGCGCTGGGCTTCCTGTGGCACGCAGACTGCGCGGGGAGGTGGACGTCGGCCGCGGAGTAGGTGGAGACTGCGGCGGCGCGGGCGGCGTCGAAGACGTGTTGCAGCTCGCCGATCTCGTGCTCCTTCCGGTAGTTGCGGTCCGTGCCCTCGCGGAAGTAGTCGCCGTAGAGGTCGAGGTGGTAGAAGACGGCGGCGTACGGGCCCAGGGCGCGGACGGCGTCGAGGTTCTGGCGGTACACGGACTTGAGGGTGGCGACGTGGCCCGCGGTGCACACGGCGAGGCGGTGGCCCGCGGGGAGGTTGGCCGTGGAATCCGCGAAGGGCATGGGCGGGGCGGCGGCAGACTGCGCGGACGTGACGGCGGCTTTGACGCGGTTGGCCGCCGGTTGGTCAACGTTGTGCATGAGCAGGACCAGGGCGGCGCCGAAGAGCGTGACCAGGGCGAGCAGGCGCCCCAGCGAGGATGGCGGGGCCGGCGCCGGCGGGCGTCGGCGCCGGCGGCGGGTCGTCGGCAGGGGACGGTCGCGTCCGCGGGGATGGCATCGCGCGAAGTAGGGGGAGGGGGAGACGTGGATCGGGGGGGAGGAGGTGGGGCGGAGAGGAGGGTGGAATTGAGAGCTGAGGGGGGGATGCGACGGTGGGAAATCGATGGGCTCGATGCCGTACTACTGTACGTGTACAGTTGTGTGAACCAGCCTACGTGTTGGCGCATAGTATTTGTGAACTGGTAGATACAGGTTGAACACGTTTTACACATTATGAATATGAAACGGGGTCATACTGGAAGTGCACGTGTCACAATTGACGCACGCCGCAATGCGCCGTGGCCGTTCAGTGAGGGGCGCATAGGCAGAACTCAGGGAATGGAGGCATTCTAAGAGAGTGCAAAAGGCAGCGAACGCAAAAAGAAAGAGCGCAGAGGAACGGGAATCCAGGACGAGAGGAGGGAAGAATGATAGGTACTTAATAGGGAAGCTAGAGTACGATAGTCTAAAGAAAAAGAGTCCGGGCAGTGGGTAGAGCAGACCGACGGCCCTGAACGGCCCTCAGGGCCGTTCCTAACGAAGAGTTAGGTGTGCTAGCACGCAAGCACCCTGACATTTGGCATGAATGGATTGGTTGAACGGGAGTAAAAGCATTTCCAATAATTTTTTCAACCAATACATTCATGCCAAGTTTCAGGGTGCTGGCACGGCGAACTCTTCGTTAGGAACGGCCCTCAGGGCCGTTACATCGCAACGACCACAGACACGACCAGCCTTACTGTAGACAGAAGGGAGTCAGCCATACCAACATACGCTCTCTGTTGGTATGACAAGCAACGATTTTACAACAGTACCTACTGAGAACCGTACACGTGTGGAACAGGTGTAAGTAGGCGAAATTTGGCAGAAGCGAGAAAGTGTCCTCTCTTCCAAATTCCGACGCACTTCCGGGAATGAAATCGAGAGATACGCGACATACAACAAGTAGATTGAATGGGCTTGAGCCCAACTGCACGAGCCGCCCTGATCGCGTAACTTGGTAAACAAGAGTACGGTACGCTGGCAAGATCACGAGGATGCCTTCAACTTGCCACTCCTGCAAAACTCTTCTCCCAAGTCCAAACATGGCCGCACGGTCCACAACAGCACGTACAGTATTCGGTACGCATGCGGCATGCATCGGCGCGAGTAAACCCCCGCGGTACTTGCCGCGGCCCGTCTCTTGCGACGCGTGGCGCGGCCGGCGCACCGCACAGCCCGCACAGCCCACGGCAGCAACGCCGGCACGAAGAGCGCGGGCCCTCTTCCCGCTCGGAGCGGGTCGCCTCTTACGAGTACAACGCGTCTGACGTGTACCAGGCGCGTCTCTTGCGCGGGACTCTCGCGAGAAACGGCCAATCGGGGCCGCCGGCCGCGATTGGTGGTGCGGGCCCTACAAGAGGAGGTACCTATTTTTTGAACAGCGCATGGCAAAGTTGAACACCCCAAAATTTACTTTTTTTAACGTTTATACGTCACTGGCACCTCTATGGGTCCAAAAAGATGACCTGTAATCTCCTGTATCTCGAAACCGCTTCCTCAAATACGACAACAGTTCGCAGAATCAGCTTTTAGGGTGACCCCACCGCGCCTTGCCCAAAATCGCAAAAAGCAGACAGTTGTCCTCCGGTAATTGGATCTACTATCTTTTAATCAAGCCGCGCTTTGGGGGAGGTGGTGATTCAGAGATGAACCCCACCGCGCCTGTAACACGATACATCTATTCATATTCAGGGTCACCCCAATTAGGCTACAAGTATGTCGTAGAAATACATTTGGCGCAAAGAAGCAAGCTACTGCATGCGTCTGTTCCACAATTGGCGGCAACTTTTGCTCGTCACTTGCCCGCTCTCCATAATATGTAGGCTCTTGTTTGGGAATTATCAACTCGGCAAGTACACCACGCTTTCAATTCCTATTATGGACTCTGGAACTGCGCTCTCAGCAACGCACAGGGCAAGATTCTCCTCGTCTGACCACCCCAGTCCCTTACCCTTTTTCCTCACTCTTACTGCCGAGTCATCAGTCCTAGTAACCACCTCAGCCATTGCCTGCACTTCTCAGAAGACGAGAAGGAGGGAGAAGATGGGAAATGTCCACGAGCGAAGGCTGCACAACACTCCTTTTCGCGTCCCACACTATTGATGGGACTTCAGTCAAAACAGCCCCAATGCCATTTGGAAGAGCTTTGGTAGAGCTGTAAGCACATGAAATTCAGATGTTTTCTGTACCGTTACTAAAGAACGAAGCTCGCCCAAACGGCGCTTTGGACAAAAATCTCGACCAAATAATTTTGGTTTGGAAAAGAATCCTTCCCAAATTCTAAACTTTAGGACAAATGGTGGCGCGGTGGGGTTCAAAATTTCTTCCATCGGTCCGAACTTTAGTCCATCGGTCCAAACTTTAGTGGTTGGAACTTTAGGACAGAAATTTTGTTGGCGGTGGGGTCACCCTTACGCGCGCTTTTTATGTTAAACGATTTGCCTTTGTAGACTTCCGCCTTTTTTTATGCCAATAAGAGCAGTTTCAAGATTCTGAGCGCTCTTGTGACCTTCTGACAAAACCTGTGCTGTTGTCGCGGCAGCTTCGATCTTTGCCGTCCAGCGAACGAGAAAGGGAAACCAAAGGTGGAAAGGGTGATGGCGGATCGAATGACGTGGGAACGAGTGCGACTACAGTACCGCGTTGATGCGTATAGGGACGAAAACATTGCTCCCAGGACGATGAGGGTTCGTCGTGCGATAGCACAGAAGCGAGTGATGGAATTGCGTATGGCCGCAATAGCTCAGCGGATTCCATAGATAGAAGACAGGGTAAGGCAATGGCACCTCTAGTCTTTCTGCTAATCAAATAAAAGGTGCGAAGCATGTCGCCGCCTCTGCCGTCTGAACACGCCCCCGTGCTCCCTCGCCTACTCTCTTCCGCTCGCCCTTGACTCGCATTCCCCGCCCGAACATGAAGCATCCCTCACTGCCATCCCGCGTGCTCCCCGCCACCCCCGCCTTATTCGGTCCCCCTTGCCCCGTCATTCCCTTCCACGCGCGCCTCTCGCCCGATCTGGCTCCCAAAACCCCCCCTCCCCCACAGCCACCGCCTCTGTCAAAACAAGAGCAAAGCCCCTGCCCGTCCGCACCACTCGCTCGCCCTCGCACCCACCCACGCAAGGTCCGCTCTGCCGCTACATGAACCACGAGACGCTGCACCGCTCCGTGTCGAACGCGAAGGGCTCGTGCACCCAATTGTTCGAACACGACGAGCGCGTGCGCTGCCTGCTGCAGCAGGCCCGCGCGTCACTGAAGAAGTTCGAGCGCAGAAAGGCCGAGCTCCACTTCCCGCAGGCCATCTCCGCAGACCCGGCCCGCGCGCAGAGCCACCTCCTGTACGCTCTGCACGTGCAGAAAAGAGACCCGCTGCTCGCACGCGGCTTGTTCTTTCATGGCCTTAGGGAAAACCCGAATGATGCAAAGCTTCTCTAAGTTGCATCCGATTTTCTGAGCTTGAAAAACTAGTAAAATTTGACGTTTCAATCACTTGTCAATGCACCGTGGCGCTTCATAAATAGGTTCGTTTTTCGGTACAATACCCCTCTTGAATCTTACCGTTGCGACCGCGTGCCGTTTCCTAGTTGTATTTCTGATTCGTTTTCGTCAATTATGATGCGGAAGCCAAGAATGAAGGCTTTTTAATGGCACTGCTTTTGTGAGCAGGCGCTGGGAAAAAGGAAATTTTTCTAAAAAAACAGAAAGTGTTCAATAAAGGGTCTTAGCTCTGTTGTAAATAAAGATGTAAGGTATATGATAAGGTACACATTAGATATACTCTGTAAATGCAGACTTCGTGCGTAATTAACGACATATTGCTGAAAGATTGAGTCGTTACCGAAAACACCAGATTGCTACGTATAGCTGGATAAATTTCAAATTTATTCTGCATTTTTGATGACAGCGTGTGCACTCAATTTTGACTTGATGATTACAGTACTACAAAAAATGTACCCAAATATTAATCAAAGATAGAATCATAACGATCACTGTCTCTGTCGGCCGTGTACAGCTCTAACCCAAGACGAAAACGGCGATTCGCACGGTATTTCTCCTGCGCACGCCTCCTCTTCTGTACTGTATC